AGGTACTTAAGAGTAAGTTAATTTTTTTTACACATAGAAAACTACCACCACACCAGAGCCCAACTGGAAACATCTGTCTTTGAAATAATCATGTTGAAATAAAGTACTGATATTTCCCGGCAAAAAAATGGTCATTTCATTATAGTTGCTGTCTGATTTTTGTTGTTGTTGACTTTAATGTAAGATTTATAAATCAAATCACAGTGCTCTTGTGTTGATTCATGTTTTAGGAAGTCTGATGGTTGGTTTTGGGTTTTTTCCCCCTTCCTAATTCATGTACATTTGCATGAATGCCCTTGTGAGAGCTGCTCCCAGGACACTTCAACCAGTGCTGTATGAAGTGTTTGAACTACCCCATGACCTCCTTTTTGCCATACCTTTTAGTTCATTGCATTGGGTTGCCTGGATGGCTTTCAATTAAAAGCTGTGTCTGTGGGCTTTGTAAGCCTAGAATTGGACAACAATTTTTTTTTATTTCCAAACCTAAGCAGAGTTTGACCCCTCTTTGTGTAAATGCACAAGAGGGTCATTTCAGAAGTAAGCAAAAATCCAATGTAAATGCTGAACAGCTCTTGTCCTCTGGCATGTAGGCCCTACCTCCTCCTCCAGTGGCAGCTGAAGAGTCCATCTTTAAGGTTGGTGTTCTGCTGGGATTGCAGACATCCAAGGGGCTTCTTTGTCAAGATTGTGGCCCCTTATTTTTGAATCCAGAATTCACTTTACATCAATTTGTTTCTCCTGAATTTCCATTGTGTGGAAAATGTCAGCTCTTCCTGCAGTGATCACTCAGGCTGAGACTGATGGTACAAGAGGTCAAACACAGGAAGATGGTTAAAACAGAAGATTTGCTCCTAGTGATCTTTTTTGGTCAACCTCTCTCCCTGCTCCCTTATTTTCCTGTTTGCTATGCTTATGGGACAGGAGGAAACGCTGTTGGGCAGAATTCCTGGGCTCCCACTAAATGTCCACTGAAAGCAACAGAACTTCTTTTGACAAAAGTTATGGGCTTGCATTTCGGTTCTGCAGGGAATCCTTTTTTGTGATACAGACCCTCTCGTGCTTTAAAACTTTCATGCCTTGAAGTAAAGAAAATACCTAAGTCGGGAGAGTAGAAGCGAGGCATCCTCCACAGTGGGAGCAAAGGGCAGGTGGAGGGAAGATTTTATGAAACAGTAACTGTCATTCTTCCCTTCTGCCATCATCATCTCCCAATGTTTTATTGACTGGAAAGTCAATAAAAAAGTTAGATGACTTGTGGCTAGAGGAGGGCCATGCTCAGATGTTCCCATCATGGTTAATTCTGAAGGTTAATCCGTGCTTCTGTCTCCTCTTTTTTGGGCTACCCTTGGCACACTGAGCTGTGGAACTCTTGTAATTTTGGGCTAATTCCATTTAGCTGTGTTGCTGTCTGCACCTGCTGCATGTACATTTGGGATGGTGGAAATGATTGTGGAAGCTGAAGTCATGGTATTGACAGAGAGCAACTAAACCGGTGTCTGTATATCTCTGTTTGGTTTTGTTTTCTTCCCTTCAGCACTTTGTGACATGCATCCCATGAGAGCTCTCTTTCTGATACCCAGGAACCCCCCACCACGGTTAAAATCCAAGAAATGGTATGTATTAGTTACATCTTGCTTGAAGCATTTTGTAGCATGATGTTTTCTTGTGTCACGTACAGTTTTGTGACCGCTTCCGCAGAACTACAAAGCAATTTAAGGTAGCAAAAATCGCTCTGTTATCTTTTGTGCCACTGAACCAAAGCATGAAATAAAATTCATGCGTTGTTTAGTTCTGTTTGTCTCAGAGAAATTTTATCTGGAATTGTGTGTGAAAATTGCTTCTTGACAGAGCAGAATCTGTATTAAGGTGACAAATGAATCGATATTTTAAAAAATAAACTCCTGCAGCACTCTTAATATACACTATGTTTTCTCAGATGTATCATAACACAGAAACAGAACAGTACTATAGCGTTCTAGTTGCTAAATAGAAAGGAGCTATTAAAACTAATGAAGGCTTTTACTATAATTATTGTAAATGGTTGGAATTGAGTGCATGCTTCTTGCCAACTGAGCAGAATCCATTAGTATCGGAGGATTTCCTCCCAGTTACTGGTTACAACTGGCACATATGAAAAAAAATACTCCCTAGAAAGAGGTTTCTTATAGATTGAATGTGATCACAGGATGCTGTGATCCTGTCAAAATAATGAAGTGGTTTGACTGCCAGTTCAGTATCAGCATAGTATAAACTTGGCTTGCTTGCTGGGATTGATCTTTACCTGGATTGACTTATTTATGCACTTGTACTGTTAAGGGGTGCTCCCTCTCGTATTTCCCTTCTACATGTATTAAAGGAATAGAGATGCATATACAGTATTTGCATAAGCCTTTCATTAACCTTTTTATGTAAAATAATAACACTTAAGGTGTGAGGAATAAAAAATCTAAACAACCAAGTAACCTTGAATTCAGCCTTTTTGATTACAGTAGGAAAGTGAACTGATGGATGGAAATCATTGTTTTCACACTTAACCATGTAGTGGAGATGTTTGCTCTCCAAGCACTGGCGCAGGTTGAGAGTACCTACCAATTACAAAGTGACTCTGATCAAAACCGGTGCTGTTGTGACTCAACTGTTCTGATAGTGTGCTCAGGGGCAGGTTATGAGAAAATGGGCCAAGTGATGAAAAAATCGTAGAATCATCATAGAATGATTGGGTCGGAAGTGACGTTAAAGATCATCTAGGTCCAAACCCTGCCATTGACAGGGATGCCACCCATGAGTTCAGGTAGCTCAGGACCACATCCAATCTGGCCTTGAACACTTCCAGGGATGGGGCATCCACAGCTTCTCTGGGCAGCCTGTTCCAGTGCCTCACTGCAGTTTTGAATATTTCCAATATTGTCATTTTGTAAGATGGCTTGTTGGTGACTTCTTAGTGGAGACGTCTTTCGAGAGTTCAAATGAAGTGCAAATTTAGGAAGGTGGTGCTTAGCTAACTCCTGTACCCTGTCACTATGATGTGTGTAGTTCACACTCTTAAATTGTGTCAGAGAGAATTTGACCCCAGGTGCATGAACAGACAACACTGATCAACATCCACCTGTTGTTCTGTAAGAATTTTTTTGTGTGACTCTTCAGGTAAAAAATAAAATAATCTTAAATTCTAGCAGACCTAACTAGGTGAGCCCAGGTGCATACAAGAGCAGTGAGGTGCTGCATGTGTTGGTAGTGGCAGACGCAGTTCTTCTGACTTCTGGCATGGCTGTCTGTAGCAGACGTTCCCTTAGATAGCATGGGCAGGTGAAGGCATACCAGAGCTGCCCTGCCTCTACTCCAAGCAAGCTGGAATTCTATCCAGTTCTGATCAAGAAGTAGCAGAGCTGGGTTTGCATGATTTACCTTCGCTAATAGATCCTGACTTTCAGAGTAATTATCCCTGTGAAAGAGGGCACATTACTATGAGGCTGTGCCTAAGCGCTGCAGGTATGTTCATGTTACCCTGTGTCCCTGCAGCCCTGTGCCCATTATGCTCAGCTTAGCTGGAACACACTCAACTTTGTTTAGGAGGTACACTTGCAGGCAGCACTTGTACTGTCCTCTGAGATGTGATGCTCTCTGAGGAAAGGAATTAGACTTTGAAGAAGAACATAACAAATGTTTCAGTTGAGTTTTACCTGTCACTTTGTTTTGTTTTTTCCTTCCTGCTTTCTCAGGTCAAAAAAGTTTTTCAGCTTTATAGAAGGTTGTCTAGTGAAGAATTACATGCAGCGACCTTCTACAGAACAACTGTTGAAACATCCCTTTATACGTGACCAACCAAATGAAAGGCAAGTCCGAATCCAGCTTAAAGACCATATAGACAGGACCAGAAAGAAGAGAGGAGAGAAAGGTATGCAGCTTATAAAAATCAAGTATTTCAACTTGTCAAAAATACATATTTTTGTCCTGCTTTGCATTCTAAATCCTCACCCCTAGAAAAGCTCCAAACAACCCAAGTCCTTAAAAGGTTCTTTTTTAATTCATAATTTGACTATCAGCAGGCTTCTGTGTTGTTCTGTCCTTTACAGAGGAAGTATCAATTTCAAGTGCTGTATTTTCCGATACATTGAGTTTACTCACTTCTGGGCCACTGCCTCTTCCATCCATACAAGTGTTAAATGGTATTTTTGAGGATATTGGCATATACGCATTTCCCATTTTTGATCGGCAGTTGTTTCATTTCCTGAAACAGTGCCATAAATCAGACTTGCATGAAATAACCCATCACAAGAGCTATGAAGCTAGTGTTTGGGGTAGCCTTTTCTCTTTATTCAGGTGCTGCTGAGGTGTCTTGTCTTACATATGAAACCTGGTGTCATTCAGGGAACTTGCTGGAAGTCTTCTGTGCTCCTTTACAAGTCTGGGAAGATGGGGTTGTATATATAGAATGAGTTCTAGGGTCTGTGATAGATCTTTTCACTGAAGGGGACAGGAAATGGTTCACTGAGGTGCTACTGCAACCCTCCACTGTCCTAAAATTAAAGATAAGTACTACCTAGGCCTTTGTTTCTTTCCTGTTAGATGAGACGGAGTATGAATATAGTGGAAGTGAGGAAGAAGAGGAGGAAGTGCCTGAACAAGAAGGAGAGCCAAGGTAATAACTGCTTTTGGGATGGCTCAGGGCAGTCCATGCCAAGTAAGTCTAAAGGTCTGTGATTATAAATCAGGAGCAAGCTAAATTTCTCTCTTATTAAGTGAATGCATAAGCCACACAAACCACCCAAAAAGTTTGAATACCTATGCCGTGACTGGTAAAGGCTTTAAAACTCCCCCTCCTATGGCTTAGAACCAACAAGCTCTGGATGGAGGGAGATTTATGGCAAATACGATTGATCAGGGTCTCCACAATGTCAGCATTGGTCCTTATTTTACTTGGCCTCATTTCGCACCTTCCACTGAGAGCATGTATTTAACATGCACCCAGTGTCTTTGCTTTGAAAGAAACAAGATAAAACTTTAACATCATGATATATTTTATTAAATATTTTAATAAAAATTTCCTGCTTGGAAAAGGTATGTAATGGCTCATCAGGCTCTTTTGTACTGGAGGCTTTAACTTCCTCTTGTTGCAGTTCCATTGTCAATGTGCCTGGAGAATCAACCCTCCGACGTGATTTCCTGAGACTGCAGCAGGAAAACAAGGAACGGTCTGAGGCCCTTCGGAGACAGCAGCTGCTGCAGGAGCAGCAGCTCCGTGAACAGGAGGAGTACAAGAGGCAGCTGCTGGCAGAGAGGCAAAAGCGCATCGAGCAGCAGAAGGAGCAAAGGAGGCGGCTAGAAGAGGTAGAAACAGGAGACTGGAGTCTGTGGGGCAGAAGCCCTTCTTCCACTTGTGTTTACCATTTCTACGCCCATTTAAAAAGAGTTCCCTGTAGCCCCAGCACATCTCAGGAAAGAAAGCAGCATGTGAAAATCCAACTGCAAACATAGAGCAAAGCACTTAAATCCATCACTGGCTACTTGAATATAAGCTGTCTTCCCAAGCATTTGAATATCCAGCAGCTCCACTGGAGGCAACAAGAGCCAGAGCTGGGTTGTTTGAAGGTGTTTTGTGTGGGAAGGCTGTGTCTTGGTCTCTGTTTAGACTTTAGGTAGCTGTAGAGAACAGGAGACATTAATTATTACCAGGTGAATTTTTTTTTCAAGAGTATTTCTGGGGAGTATGGGGGGCTATAACATGTCTCAAATTTCCCTTTAAAGCTTTCTCAAACATTTGTTTGGCATTTATTCTTGTAGGTAGAAACCTATTTTTTAATGTAAAACTCTCTCATGCGTATTAGCTTAATGACTAAAAGCCACCTAGATCATAGAATCATAGAATGATTTGGATTGGAAGGGGCCTTTAAAGGTACATTTATAAATATGTTTTATAAATCAGTGTTAAAATTATAATTCTGCAAGAACTGCAAATATATAAACCATCTTTTTGTGATACAGTAAGGAGGCAATTTCTATATACTACTGGAAGATAAAATGAATGTACATGTTCAGTATTGTTCTGTCATACTTTTCACCTCCTAAAGTCTCATGTGCATTTATATATATGTATGTAGATGGAATATGCAGTGTGAGCTTCGGAGGTAGGAGGATTTCAAAACAGCTCTTTAGGGCAGAGCTGGGTATGACACAGAGCTGAAGTGAAACCAATCTTCTGGCTCTTCAGGAAGTACAGGGTCAAATTCCAGTCGTCCTTAAATGACCTCTTGCTTGCATCTCTGTTTCAACCGTTCACTTAGCAATGATGGAAAAACTACACCCAGTCTGGTTTTCCAAATTCTGGTAATGTTTAATGAGGACGCAACCAGGACCAAATGTTGATTTGCATCCCATGATGCGTTTGCGTAACAAATAATACAAAGTTCCAAATAGCTTTCCAGGTCACATTATGCTCCTTATCCCTCTTTTTCAGTGTGCAAATGAGTTTAGTGCTTCCGTAAGGAGAGATTGGTAGCTAAGATTCAGCCACACATGAATCCAGGAGAAGAGGCAAGGGGGAGGCATATAAACTCCATTTCTCTTCTGTTTCTTCCCCACCCTTCTAAGAATGCCAAGATAAACATCGTAGCACTTCCAAGTGTTTTAGACTCTGTAGCAATTTTGTGGGGGGAGCAACTAATAAAAAAAGACACTAGAAAAATATGAAAATAAAATATTGATATTGACAAAGGTGGGCAAAAGTTGAGATACTGTTTAGCCTCTCAAATTTTTCTTAGTGTGGGAGTCAATGGTTTCACTTAAATGCCACTTTAATCTCTAAGGTTCTGCAGGCAGTATTTTTTTGTTGAAGAAGAGGATTACAATTAAATTATCTAGGTCATTTAACTTTAGTAATGAGTGCAACTCTTAAAATCTAGATTTTCTTTTTAAAAGAAAAAGTTTCCACTGCTGCTAGTAGTGGAAACAAAGCAGTGCACTGTTCTCCTTGCATGGATTGAACTTTTTGGGGAAGTTGCAGATATCATAACTTAATGAGCAACTAAAAAGAAAAGACAATTACCTGGAAGTTGTGTTTAATCAGTCCTGCTTTTTAAAATACAAAACAAAACTGACAGCTTCCACATCCACAAGACAGCACATAACTGAATATGGTTGCACAATAAACCATGTAAAATTTTTAAGATATAAGTTTTTTACCTTGTATTGATCTGTAACCTCTGCCTGGTTCCCCTGGAGGCATAAATATGAATGATGAGTTATAACGGTTTCCTTTTGCAGGTGAAGGAGTGGGCATATTGTTCTTAAAGTGAATTAAAAAAGGCCTCACATTTAGCTTTCACAAAAAAAACCATTTAGTTTGTTGGATCTTGTGTTGGAAAAATGTATGATCCCAAGTGATTTTTAACAAAATAGCAGCCAAAACAAGCTCTTTCATATGGGGGAAGGGTGGTAGACATATATTTAGATAAACATCAGTGTTGTGACACAATTGAAGGCCAAAATATTGGAATGTTGTCACTTTGTCCTCAACTCACTCCCCCTGTTTTGATGAAGCCAGTAAACAATGAAGAGCTTGGTAATGGGAGTTAAGATTAGTGTCAGGCGTCGAGTCTCAGGGCTTCCATAGCTTTGTTGATATTTTTACCAAGCCTTGCTTTCTTGTAATTTTTTTCTTGTGTAAAGTAAGTTTATGTTTGCATATACCCAGTTAATCTTCTTTGTTAGAATTTTATGTATTAGATAATCTTCCTGGACAAGTTGCATATACTTCCCCCCCTCCCTGCTTTCTATATTAAAATTGAGGGCTTGTTCTTACAATGCTGGCACAGAGCCTAGACAGTTTTGACCGAGACTGTAACAGGAACGGTGTTTAGGACATCTGCCAAAACTGTAATTCTCAGCAGTATTAGAGAAAAGATTACTTTTTAAAAGGCATATAGGTGACTTCTAAAACTTGTTGTTGCAGGAACCTTATAATTTGTGTGTTCCTGAGAAGGTGAAAATGATATGAGGTCAAAGTATAGGAAAGGACCTGAGACATTTTGGGATGGGTATTATTTGTCCTACGCTCAACCTTCCTTTAAGAGTCATATAAAGACTATCAACTGAAATGTTTCTACACCATTGCACGCAACATGAGGAACAAACAAGAGGAGCTCAAAGTTTTGACCCGGTCCCATAAATTTGACATCAATGGCATAAGTGAAACCTGATGGGATGAGTCCTATGACTGGAGTGCCCCGTTGGACAGTTACAGGCTCTTCAGGAGGGATATGCAGGGCAGAAGAGGCGGAGGGATGACACTGTATGTTATAGAAGGGTTAGAATGTATGGAGCTCACAGTTGGCAATGGAACAGTTGAGAGCCTCTGGGTAATAATCAAGGGGCAAACAAATGCGGATGTCATCGTGGGAGTCTGCTATAGGCCTCCCAGCCAGGACGCTGACAAATTATTCTTTGAGGAACTAAGGACACTTCCAAGTGAACTACCCTTGTCCTTATGGGGGATTTCAACTTACCAGAAGTTAACTGGGATCATCACACAGATGGTAGAACCCAGGCCAGAAGATTCCTAAAAACCTGGATGACGACTTACGGAACAGATCCTAAGGGAGCCGACTTGGAAAGATGCCCTACTTGATCTACTGCGTGTCAACAGAGTGCATCTTGTGAGCGAAGTTGAGATTGGTGGCCACAGTGACTATGAAGCAACTGAGTTTAAAATCTCTGTTGGCAGGAGGACAAGTGCCAGCAACACCTCAACTCTGAGCATGAGGAGAGCAGACTTCAGACTGCTCAGGGAATTAGTAAGTAAAGTCCCCCGGCAAAATGTTTTTGCAGGTGCTGGGGTCCGTCAGTGCTGGTCGGTTTACCTCCTAAGGGCACAGGAGCAGCAATTCCCGAATGTTGCAAGTCAAGCAGGTGAGGCAGAAGGCCGGCTTGACTGAACAGGGATATTCTCTGGAAATAAAGCAAAAAAGGAAGGTTTATGCCCAGTGGAAGCAAGGTGAAGTGACATGGGAAGAACACACAGATGCTTCTTGCTGCTGTAGGGAGAAAACTCATGCAGCCAAAGCTGAACTGGAGTTGAAGCTGACCAGAAATGTGGGGGCCAATAAAAGGAATTTTTTCAAATACATTAATGGCAATAGACTGTATATAAATATCATTGGCCCACTGCAGGATGAGGATGGTCATCTCACAAACAGGGACAGAGACAAGGCAGAGGTGTTTAATGCTTTCTTTGCCTCTGTCTTCAACACAGATAATGGACCAAGGGGGTCTCAGTACCATGAGCTGGAAGACCATGACTGCCAGAATGATCAGTTCCCAGTTGACCCTAAAATTGTGTGATCTACTGCTCCAGCTGCATCCCTACAAATCTGTGGGGTCTGATGGGGTTCACCCAAGAATCCTCAAAGAGCTGACTGTTGTCACCACAAAACCTCTCCAGATGATTTTTGAGCAGTCTTGGGAATCCAGACAGGTCCCAGCTGACTGGAAGTTGGCGAACACTGTCCCGATTTTCAAGAATGACCAAGAAGGAGGACCATGGAAACTGCAGGCCTGTTAGACTCACTTCAGTGCCTGGTAAAGTTATGGAGAAGATTATTCTAGGAAGTATTGAAGAACACCAGAAAACCAACACAGTCACTGGTCACAGCCAGCATGGCTTCATTTGAGGAAAGTCCTGCTTATCAAACCCGATTTCCTTTTATGACAAGGTAACCCACCTAGTTGATCAAGGGAAGCCAGTCGATGTAATCTTTTTGGATTTCAGTAAAGCTTTTGATACCGTCTCTCACAGGATCCTTCTGAACAAAGTGTCCATCACACAGCTGGACAAACACATCATGTAGCGGGTGAGCAATTTGCTCATGGGTGGAGCACAGAGGGTAATAGTGAATGGGGTAACATCAGACTGGTGACCTGGGGTTCCACAGGGCTCCGTCTTAGGCCCTCTGCTTTTCAGCATCTTCATGAATGACTGGGTTACAGGACTGGAAGGGATACTAAGCAAGTTTGCAGATGACACAAAACTCAGAGGAACTGTTGACTCCCTCGAAGGCAGGGAGGCCCTGCAGAGAGACCTCATCAAATTAGAGGACTGGGCAATCACCAACCATATGAAGTTCAACAAGGGGAAGTGTTGGATTCTGCACCAGGATGGGGCAACCCTGGCTGTACATACAGCCTGGGGAATGAGGTGCTGGAAAGCAGTGCCGTGGAAAGGGAGCTTGGGGTCCTGGTCGATGGCAAGTTGGATATGAGTCAGCAGTGCCCTGGCAGCCAGGAGGGTCAACCATGTCCTGGGGGACATCAGCCAAAGCATCACCAGCCAGTTGAGGGAGGTGATTGTCCAGTTCTGCTCTGCACTGGTGCAGCCTCACCTGGAATATTGTGTGCGGTTTCGGAAACTTCAATGCAAGAAATATATAAAGCTATTAGAGAGGGTCCCAAGAAGGGCAATGAAGATGGTGAAGGACCTCGATGGGAAGCCATATGAGGAGCAGCTGAGGTCACTTGGTGTGTTCATGTTGGAGAAGAGCAGACGGAGGGGAGACCTCATTGCAGTCTACAACTTCCTTGTGTGGGGAAGAAGAGGGGCAGACACTGATCTCTTCTCTGTGGTGACTAGTGACAGAACCTGAAGGAATGGCCTGAAATTGTGTCAGGGGAGGTTTAGGTTGGATATTAGAAAAAAGTTTTTCACTGAGAGGGTGGTTGGGCACTGGAACAGGCTCCTCAGGGAAGTGGTCACAGCACCAAGCCTGACAGAGTTCAGGAATTTGTTTGGATGATACTCTCAGGCACATGGTGTGACTCTTGGGGATGGTCCTGTGCAGGGCCAGGAGTTGGACTTGATGATCCTTGTGGATCCCTTCCAACTCAGCATATTCTGTGATTCTGTGAACTATGTAAGTAAATGTTTAGATAGCTCAAACAAGAAAGCCGAGCTGTTCTGGCTGATCAGGTATGTATCTGTGTTTCTGTTCAGCAACGTGGAGACAACTGCTGTCTATGAAAAAGGTGTTTGAATTTGTACTTAGCAAAACTGAGTCTGATTTGGAAAATTCCGAATTGGCTGTGCTGGAATCCCGTTCTGTGTGGACCTCCACAGTTCAGGATAACTTCATTAAATGGTGCCTCTGTCCCTGGCTATGAGAACCTAAGGGATGTTTTTGAAGTGGTAGGTTATAGCTCCACTGACAAGTAGTACAGTCCTGTTGAAGCAGATTGTGGAGTACAATAATTAAAGTGCTGAGGACCTGAAGATTTCACTTCATGTCTTTAAAGACTGGAGGAATTCCTTTGGACTAGCTGAGGTCTAGACTGTGTGCCTGCTTGTGGTTGGAGTGCATCTGCCTTTTTAATTTCGTCCAAAAGGAGTGGTTGGCACTCCAAGACATCTTCAAAATATGAAACAAAACTGGATAAGTGGAGACGATTGGCTGATTCATTTCAAAAGAACCCTCCTGATATGAACCAAGATGCTAATGTAGGTGTACCTGCAGGCAGTTTTTGCCAGGGCTTTGTGTCTTTTTCAGAGGGGGAGATTATTCATATCTCCTTAATTTGAATTGCTTGCAACTTGGATTGGTACTGAGTAAGAAGTTCTGCTTCTGGTTTATCTCTAGTGTGGACAAAGCAAAAGTCTCTTTAATAATCTCTTCTTAAACTGATACCAGACTACTTAATTCTTTGTGAAAGAAATAATTAATATATGTATTTATCAATCCTTGAATATAAGACAGAGTAATAATATTTTATGAATTTTAAATTAGAGGATCTATATCTGTCTTCATCATCTCACTGTATGAAGAAGACCCTGAGTTTGTTGGTATACACCAACTGCATGTGTAGTTGCATTGCCCCCTCCTGGTAAATCATGCTCTACTGCATGGACTTCCAGTTTGGAGATGTCAGGTTCCATTATGAGATCATCATTATTGTACCCTAGAACTGGACAAGGAGCCAGAGTATTGACACAATGTTTTCTATTCTATGCGTGCTTTTTGGATTTTTTTTGAATTTTTATTTTTTAATGTTGTTTGCATAGAAAATGCCCATTTTGTGGAATGCAGTATGGACTCTGTCAAAATTCTGTTTTGGCATGTCTGAAATTTCTTTGAAGAATTCTTGCCCTTACCTTCTGGTCTACAGTTAGCTCCTTGAAAATAAGCTTTTTATCTGACATGTGCCGGAAAGTTGGCAATACCATATCCAACTAAAGAAGATCTGGACCCAGCTTGGGTCAATGCAACTTGCTTTGCATCAACCAGCTTTGCCATCGCTTTGACAAGATGTAGACTAGGACCCAAGAGAAGGTTGTCTCTGTAGGTTACCTTTCCCTGAGCTTGTTAAAAGTAAATTCCATTTTGTTATTGGCCAGTAGTTTGATTCTGAGGTTTCAAAGGCCACATACAAAGGAAGTGAAATCTTTCTTTTCCAGCTAGATCTTGGGAATAAGGGGATCATGCAAGATGTTTGTGCGGGCTCCTGCAGTGCCAGGTACCTCCCTTCCCACATGCCCATCAAGGGGCTGAGGCGGTGTCTGATGGGAAGGTGGAAGTGAGACTGAGAAACCACATCTCTCTGTGTACTTTGGCACACAGGCAATAGCACATTTGTGCTTTGGAGATTTGACTTCAATGCACGCTGGTGGCAGAGAATCCTTCTTTCCCCCCTTTTTTTTTTTGCTGAGTAATAAATATCTACTGTTGTACTGAGCTAGATACCTGGATCAAGGTTTGCTTAAAAATCTCATCTTTTAAAAATTGATTTTGTTTATTTTGTGATGCCATGGGAAAACAGCTCTCTTAATCAAACTGTAACTTTTTTTTCTCACATTAAGTTCAGTTATTTATAATTATTGCTGAATACTTCTGAATTAGTTCAAGATGCAATGAATTTGCCCATCTTCCTTGTAGTGAGAATGATGCCATCTCAAGATTTGCAATATATCTGCTTAACAATGTCAACACAATATTGTTTGAGTTGATAAATGTGCATATTATATTAGCCAGCCAACAGTGTGCTGTCTCTTGCATCCTCAAGGCAACAATATTATTATACTTCACATCTTAGTTTTCTTAAACAAAGAGCCTGTCAGACTTGATTAGCCAAGAAGCACCTGAATATATTGACTTAAAAGTAGAAATTGCTTGACACCGATGTGTATATTCAGAAATAAAAGTGCCTACTTAATCCTTTTACAGTGCTTAAAAAATGAGGGAGGGGAAGCAGTGAAACTTATGAAATGCACTGTATGCCATAGCTGCCTTGCAGCGCTTTTGCTATTTTTATATC